CTAAGGAGTAACCCCAGGAATAACCGGTAACTTTGCCATCATCCTGTGCCTTTAATGTACCCTCCTCCACGTAGCAACAAGGTGTCACAGCAACAGAACGTATGTTTTGTACCGATTTTCAAATAGGGCTCCTGGATTTTTCCTCAAATACAGTTTTGAATGCTATAGGCTTAGTTGTATTTAGCCCAGTTCTCTAGAAGCTATAATGAGAAGTACTGATTACATAGGTTTAACTTCTCTTGGAATGAACCACTCTTTATTCATTATCTTATTCTGTTTATAATTTAAAGATATTCTGGGGAGATTAACTCACTGCTGAGAAGGATGGAGCACTAACTCTTTCTGTTAATTAAGCATAACAATGTGTACTGGGTGTTTACATTGACCATGAGCTCAGGCTAAAGGAGCCCAGTTGGCACAGTGGATATGCATTGGGTTGTGACCCTTAAGGTCCGAAGTTCTAAACCAACAGGGGCTCCGGGGAAGAAAGATTGGGGCTTTCTACTTTCTTTAAGAGTTACTGTATCTGAAGTCCACATGGGCAGTTCTTCTCTGCCCTATAAGGGTCACCAAGAGGCAGAATTCACTTGATGGCAGTGAGACAAGCTCTGGCACCAAAAGGGCAGTACTTTGTATGTGTGTACAGTGAAATGATAGGTGGTGAAATGCTGTTCTCTGTGTTTTAAGTGTTCTACCATGAGTCTGCTTCCCACTTGGTCTTTAAATATCGGCTTGCTTTTCTGTTTTCACTTCATGCAATCTCCCTGAGATCTTCTGCTTCCATTCTGAAATGCCCGCTTCTGATTCTCACAGGTGCTTCTCCAGCCCGAGTCTCACAGCTCATATCCAGGTCCACCTAGATTCCTGTAGATCTGAGATGTTCGCTTGCAAATGTCAAAGTTGCCTGAAATCCACTTGAAGAAAACAGGAACTCACGATTATCTCTTCAAATTGAGTTCCTTCTTATCACGGTCACACACCCACCTCGATTCTGACTCTCGGTGGGTTCAACCATGGCTGAGCTTCAGAACTCCTCGATAAGGGATTCTAGGCTTTAATCCTGATAGAAGCTCATCTCCAGGCCGTTCTGTACCGGCACATCTGGGAGCGTTTGAACTGCCAACTTCTAAAAAATGTATATTTAATTGGGAGTTAATACCTATATCTTTTTGTAGTTCAATCATGCCAAGCAGCATTGTACAGTTGGTGCCACAATCAATTTTCAAACGTTCTTTTCCTTCCTGGACTCCTTGACATCATCTCCCTTTCACGGACCCCATGTGCCACCACCTCTGTATCCCCGCCCCTCTTTCAACAAAGCCCTTATTGTACTTGTTGTACTTATAGTTTCCTCAAGTCTGGATTTAATATACTGAAAAACTAACAAAAAACATAATATAGCTTCAAGAGAGTGACACTCAATGGCACCTCTGAGAAAAACCCTAATAAGAACAAACAAAAATGCAAACAAAAAATACAGGAAATGTTGAAAACTAGATCAGGTCCAGCATGCATCAGCCAAGGTTTAACTGACTAGGTGTTAACTGCTCAAGTCAGATTTATCCCTTGGATCTTCTGTACTCATCCCTCCAATGCACTCTGTTAATAGCCACTTTCTCCCATCCCTCAATTATGGACACAAGGAGATCACCGGAGGCTTATTTCCTATGTAGTTCTCACAAATGTATCTTAGGCTCCTACTGACATCCACGTTTAAGTTATCAGCTAATCACGAGCTCCTTGTGGCCACCTAGGATTATTGTAACACCATAAGGTCAGCAGTTTGAAACCCTGAGACCGTCCATGAGAGGAAGATGAGGCTTTCTCCTCCTTTACAGATGTACAGTCTTGGGAACCCAAAGGGACCATTCTGCACTGTTCCATACTGTCTCTATGAGTCAGCATCAACTTGCTGGCTCTTGTTGTTGAGTCTTTTACTCTCACTAGATGGTCCCTTTGCAGAATTAGCTCACTCCGTGACCAAGGAAACTATGTATCCAGTTATACATGCCAGGGACAAGGCTCTATCGAAACCAGCGCGTCAACCAGTACTTAACTGCCACTGAGTGCATTTCAACTCACAGTCACTCCATGCATTGCAGAGAAGGACTGCATTCCATCCAGATTTCCATGATTGTGACCTATTGGAGGGAGACAACCTGGCCTTTCTTCTAAGGCAGCAGTTCTCAGCATGTGGGTCGTGACCCCTTTGGGGGTTGAACAGCCCTTTCACAGGTGTCGCCCGATTCATAACATTAGCAAAATTATGGTTATGATGTAGCAACAAATATAATTTTATGTTTGGGGGTTCACCACAACACGAGGAACTGTATGGTTATGGCATTAGGAAGGTTGAGAACCACAGCACTACATGATAAATTCCATAAAGGCAGGATCTGGCCATATTTTGCTTGCTCTTTTATCCACAGTGGATGATCAACATTTATTGCTATTAAATATTTCTTGGATTAAGTGTTGTTCTTGTTGTTGATAGAGTCAGTTTTGACGTTGAATGACTGCATGTTCAGCAAAATGAAATTCTGTGCAGTCCAGCACCATCCTCACAAGTGTGCTTATGTTTCAGCCCATTGTTGAACCCCTGTGTCAATTCCTCTTGTTGGAGGTCTTCCTCTTTTTCCCTGGCCCTCCACTGTACCAAGCATGATGTCCTTCTCCAGAGACTGGTCTCTCCTGACAAAAATCCCAAGGTAGGTGAGAGGAAGTCTCATTATTTTTGCCTCTAAGTAATCTTCTGGCTGTACTTCTTCTAAGGCAGAGTTGTTTGCTGGATTAAGAATAATTATATTTTGCATTCACAGATTATTAAATTGGAGTGAAATACATGAAATTTATCTGAAGTACATCAAATAAGATTATGTTTGTATTAGTCTAGGTACTTTGGAGAAACAAATCCACAGCAACCCATGTATAAGAGAGTTTTATGTAAGGAAAGTGTGCATCACGAAAACATCCCAACCCAATGCTGCCCAAGCCCACAAGTCCAACATTAACCCATTAATCCAACACGAGTCCACAAAGTCCTCCACCTCACAAAACAGAGGCAATGATGCCGACTGCAGGAGGAAAGCTGAGTCAGTGAATGAACAAGCATCTCAGCACTAGCAGGGGTCTCCACACGGCTGCTCCAGCACCCACGGCTGCATCGGGGTAGGTCCATGTAGCTTCTGCTTGGGGATGTCTTGTAGGAAGTCAATCTTGCAAGCTGAAACAGGGAACTGCTAAGGCAGCTGCACCCGGTGCAACCATCACAAAACAAGAGACCTGAGAACTAGAAAGGCGCGGCTCATCACCCATTTATCCCTCCGCCTTTCAATTAGCCCCACATGTGATTATCGGCCAGGTTGGCACAATTAACTAACTCAATGTTCATGCACAAGAAATCATAAATCAAATAACTAATTATGCACTTGGTTCTTTTACATAAAAGAGCTAAACTGAGACCAAGTGAGGGTATTTTTCAGTGAAAATGCTTACTATGTATTTGATGGTATCATAAACAATGTCTTTAGCATAACTATCATGTTAAGATTGTTTTCCATATATTGACTTTACTACCTGGGTAAAGTGAAATTGTTTACTATGGCTCATCTAACTATAATCTTTGTACCTTTCACCCAATGAATGGGTGGAGTTTCTAAAAAAAAAAGTTGTAGAGGACTCTAACGTAGGGGCTCCTTAGTTTTGCAATTCTGCTTCGTAGAAAAGTAAGTCAACCATGTCAGAAATAGGAACAGAGATAATAATACTATGAGTGTCAAGAAAGAAGAACCACTAGCCAATATAAAAGACCTGCCCGAAGGTGCAGAGACACTACAAGCGTCAGAGGCCACAGTAAA